GGGGGCATGTAAGGTTGTAGCAGGACGTAATCGGTGAACAGAAGACCAAACAGAACCATGGGTGTCTCAAACAATAAAGATATGAATCATTATGACAGTGCGTGTACGCGTTAACTGAAAGTAACTAGAGGCAGGTTTAAAGATGAATATTTCAGATGAAATTATAAGATGTTCTGTTAAAGACAGTCTCGTCCTTTGTAAGCAACAGAAGAGCCAAATTGGCAAGAAAGGGGATTTTCACGCGGGCTCTTTCTCCTCTGAGGGCAACTGCTCAATTCACCGAGCTGGGTGACGTCACTGCTGAGCGCGCGATACAAAGGCACATATTGTGACAACACAGCAGCTGGTAACTACAACGTTGTGAGCCAGCGAGATAAACTGAGATTTAGGAACGAGTTTCTGTGGTGCGATAACATATCGGCGAGTCCTTATTGTCTCTTTGAGAGTATTTTTATAGGGAAAGTGCTGTTTTAATAATGATAACTATTAATTTGGATGTACTTGAAATTGAATAAGAACTTTTATCAGCAGCCAACCTCTTATATCCACTATAGCTGACTAAAGGGTAAAGAACGGCCCCTGGCTATGATATATCTGCACCTCAGAAGATGGGAAGCGTCATAATAATATTGCAGATTTTTTTCTTTCTACTTGATTTCCTTTTTGTTTTTGGCAAATATTCCAGCTGTACAAACTGTCACAATAAAACGTACATGTCGTGTCTCTTGAACATATGTGAGGCATCGTGGTGAAATCAGGCGCTCTTTAAAATAAAGAAATTGGAGACACAGGCATTTGTCTGCCAGTTTGGCAATTTCTATGTCCATATAATAACACATTTACATGTGAATTTTACAGAAAAACGTTGATTAAAGGCACTAAATATGTCATGTTTCTGTTTTCAAGGACTCTGTAGCTATTGGAGTTACCAAAATTTGGTGGCCATTTTCTCGCTAATTTCAAAACTGAAACTAGGAGACCTCACCTCCTTCAACTGCAAATATGTTGATTTCTATTCAAGATAGGTGGGGATATTTTTTTTCACTTAAAGCAAGGCGAAAAAGCTTTTAGATGATACTAATAACTCTACATGCCCAAAAATTGACGAGCGCCTGATTCCACCATGTCGTGACACATATTATACATTTTGCCTGTGTCCAGACGTTAGAGACAGACCGCACAACGGTTTTGTTTTTGGTAAGTGTTTTACGGCGTTCGCAAATGCATACTGTCATATGAGTGCACGGGACACATTAAACATTTTCAGTTTGGTAGAAATTAATTTTGAATTTTTCCCGGGGAGGGGGGGTGGAGGGGGATGGTCAAAGCCTACTCTCATCGATTTTAAGACCACCAAGGGATCTTAAACGTGTGCAACTTGCACATGTGACATCCGAGATTTTTTCGACCTTATCCGAGAAGGCTAGGTGTTGGATCTTACCTACCCAAAGATCTGGGGTGTGACTGAAAGTCAGCAGTAAGAAGGAGACAAGGAGTAGCAGTAGAAAGTCAGCAGAAAGGGTCAGGAGCACGGAGGAGGGCAGAAAATTGTGACGATAGCAGACGATAGAACATGTTTAGAGAGTAGGGAAGGCGGTGAAAGGAGAAAATTTTTTAGAGAAGAAAATTCTCAATAGCTGTCAGGTCTCGAACCCTGGGCTAATGGAATGAGAGACAAACACCGTACCTCTAGACCGCTCTCTCCCTTCTATTTTTATCCTCCTAAAACATTATACGTTTTCTGTAATGAATTTTTTAGTCTCCAAAGACTTTTGCCACAATAACATTTTTTTGCCTTTGCAGACAGCCAAAACTGTTTTTAACAACTATATGAGCATTTTTATATTCGACAAGAACTTATAACAACAAGCATTTTTTCTATCTTCTTAGGCTGAGCAGATTTATATCTATAATGAGCTTTTTCCTGAACAGTGTCTATTATTAGTTGGGTTTTTTTTCCATTATGTGTTATTTTTCTCTCTACAGACTGTGAAGACTTTACCTACGGCAGTGGCTGTGAGCACCAGTGTAGTGAAAAGTGCTCGCGGGATGTCCCTTGTGACAAACGAGATGGAAGCTGTCTGGGTGGTTGTACCTCTGGCTATCTGGGACAGTTCTGTGATCAACGTGAGTGATTAGGAAAAACAGACGGACAAAAAGATATACTGATAGGAGGACAGAGGGAAAAGAGGGTGGAAGGAAATATAAGTTGATGAATGGGTGAATGAATGGAGTGATGCCGTAAAGAAATGGTAAACTTATTGATATTGTAAATACCTATGTGTGGCAATGACGTTAATGCTTCGCTTTACAACGATTTGTGCGTATTATAATATGTGAGTGTGTATATGCGTTTGTGTGTGTTTGAGAGACGTAGAAAATGGAATGGGGGATAGAGAAAGACATATATAAAGTTGGGAGAGAAAGAGAGAGGATAAGGGAAATAAGAAAGAGAAACAAAGAAAGGGGGAGGGAGAGTTTAAAAAATAGGAAATAGGGAGACGCAGAGAATGATTCCCTTGAGAAAGAGAGTGGGTTTTTTTGGGGGGTTTGGAGGGGGGGGGGGTAGAGAGACAGAATAAAAAATTAAGGAAAAGCTTTGGAACAATCTGAATACGACTCATTCGTGCACGTTTTTTTAAAAATCATGTATTGGGTTATTTATTGTTCAAGTAAACAATAACACATGCACCTATGCAACGAAGAATTCAGGAAAGTATCTATCATAACTGTCTTTCTCTTCTATCGTTGATCTTATTCGTTATGCTATGATGTGTTCATCCCCTAAATACTTCCCCGTTTCTTTTGGCCCAATGGTTCGCCCTGTTATTTCAGAATGTCCAAACAACACTTACGGTCTCAACTGCTCCAACACCTGTAGCCCCACGTGTGTACTCAGAACCACCAACAGCAGCGCCAGTGACACACCCAGGCGATGTCATCATGAGACTGGGGCATGTCTCTACATTTGCCTGGAAGGCTACGGGGGAGTGACGTGCTCCGAGCGTGAGTCACTTAACGGCTGTTCATTATTGCATTTTTAATGACATCAGCGCCCTGTTAGTCACAATGTAAATTACTGCAGTGACGGAAAGATCTTGGCCTTAAAGTGATGATGTCAGACAAAGAAGTGAAATGGACTTGGAAGAACAAAATACATCAGGCCCCACAGGAACTTATCTCTCAACCGTTGAGTTTTGGCGTAGTTTACAGAAATATCACAGCTTTACCTCGTAGAGACGCTCTGTACTCCTTTACCTCACACATGTACTTTGACAGTACATGATTGTGACGTCTCACTCACTCGTACTTCAATAATACAGATATGTGTTCTTCTAGATCTAACACACATACACTTCGATAATACACACGTGTTTCATTAGACCTAACACATGATATGTACATAAATAATAAAGGTAAGAGTTCTCCTTCATTTAACGTAAGGGTAATTGAAGGATACACAAACGTATTCCCTTACTTGTAATGAATGGGTATTTCAATAATACAGGAATATGTGAGCTTATTAATCTAACGAAAATAGCAGTAACCCTCACTAATACAGGTATGGGGCTAGAAAAGGATTCGAATTTTACTTACCTGTGTCTGTGGTGTTACTGTTAGCGCTTTGCTGTCTCAAATAGGAAACTTGAGTTCGATTTCAGAGTGGGGAGAAATTTTCATCGAGTATCTCGGTCTTTCTGTTGGGATGGTGCATCCCTCTCAGACTGGGTTGGCTCTGACAGGCAGGGTTGCAAGATGCAAATGTGATGTAGCTTGGTGGAATCAGACTCTCGTCAGTTTTTGGTGCATTTTGTGTTAATGGTATCATCTTAAAGCTTGTTCATTTGTATTGCTTTCAGAGCAAAAAATTACCCATTCATTTTCAATAGAAATGGAGATATTTTGGATTGAAGGAGGTGGGGGTCACCTGATTTAAGAGGTAGAAATAGAGAGAAAATGGCCGCCAAAGCTTTGCAAATTCCAAAGCTGGAGAGTCCATGGAAACTGTAAATTTATATTTTTGTGCCTTTAATCAACGTTTTCGGTGAAATCCTCAAATGAATGTGTTTGTAAATGGACATAAAAGGTGTTGAGCCAAAAAAAAAAAATGATAAAAATTGGTAAGCAGGGAGAAAACTGCTGTTTTCTTCGGTTTCATTATTTTGACGAGAGCCTGATTCCCCCACGCTGCTTCACAAATAGGTTGACGTCTCGCCACTGATGAGAGAAATATATTCCACGCCCTAGAACGCATTGGTAAATCTGATACTTGATGGGAACAACGAAACGATTAAATAAAGAAAACTGAAGAAGGTAATATCAATCTCAACCCCCCCCCCCCAAAAAAAAAAAAAAAAAAAAAAAACAGTTTAAAGTGGATGACGTGGGACAAATTAAAACTAATGGAAGAGAGAAGGTGAGAAAAATCAGAACTGGAAAAGAATAATACTTTAAAATAAGGAAATAAAGAACTCATGTAATGAAGCAAAAGAAACATTAGAAAATGATCAGTGTCAAGAAACAGAAAAGAATCAATACAAAAGAGAATTTTAAAAAAGGAAATAGGGGAGAAGAAGGGATTCGCAAACTCAGACTGCATAAGACCCTGCGAAAGAGTTATTTCAATGGCCAAGCAAAGGGGATGCTTTAAACAGATCTGATGGTCAGAAAACACTCAGGACACTATTTTTTTGTTGAGATAACAATAGGAGAGAACCCTGAAATAAAGAAGAAAAAAAACCCAGAAATGGGCCACCAGTTCTGAAAGCAGAAGTACAAGCTGCCATTAACACAATGAGGACGGGCATTCTAGTCATTCGACAAAGTTTGAAGACTCGCTGTTCTGGGGCATAACTTCATAATTCAAAGATACTTTACGATTTTGTTTTCTTCATCTGAAACAAAGGCATGCAGCAAAATGCATACTATAATATAATAAACGACCTCGTCTTTCTGAGTTATGAATGGTGGTTCTAAATGTGCCATGGCATTGCACTTGCTCTGCTGCTGATCGGACATATCTCTCCGCTTCGTTCTCAAAGAGTTAATCCTATCCGTACGGCCTGGGGTTATTTTGTACCCCCGGGGTTGTATTCTTCACATTTTAGAATACTTCTTGTCCGAAGATCTCTTTGAAAGTTTCAGTATTTCTCACAAAATAATTTTGACAGACTGCTATGCAAAGCGTACAGATCGAATTAACGAGTACATTTTCTCTTTGGAAAGTGGTTGCTCAGAGTTCCCCACGTCGAATGGATATGATAGTAAAACACGACGTACGGATAGGGCTACATAAATGAAACAAGGTAAAACTGGAGGGTCAGATAATATCCCACTTAAACTGATTGTCACCTGAGAAGAATTGGCTACTGAAATGATAACTTAGCTCTTAAATTCTATCTACATGTATAACAGTGCTAAGATTTCAGAAGATTTGATGAAGTCAGTTGTTATGGCTTAACTTAAAACACCAGGCGCAGGCGCTAAAGAGTAAATTTTGCACAGAACAATAAACCTTACGAGTCCTTTTACATTTAAAAAAAAATTGCTAGGATAAGTCCTACTAATAGAAAGAATGAGAAAACGTTTAAGATCAGAGATATCTAAAACACAATGCTTTTTGTTACCGACAAAAATACCAAGAATGCTATATTCACCCAAGGAATGTTAATGGAAAGATGTATAGAAGCACAGGAAAATCTGATATACGAGTACTTCAATGATTACTCAAAGGCTTTAGACAATGATTAGACACGACGAGTGATTTGAAACTCTGAGAAAGCTATTCATGGAAAGGAATTTAGGTTTATTGGGAAACTGTATTTAGACCAGAAAGTCGCTATAAGAATTGAAAAATACGGCCAGTAGGAACAGATTACAAGAGGACTTGTGCAGGGCTATGTTATGTCCCCAGACATCTTTAACATGATATACTGGGTAACAGAATTCTCAGAAATAAAGAAAAGGCCAGGTCTCAAGGGCAATGAAGGAAGTATCAATAACATCGAATATGTTGATTGCGCGGTTTCAGAAAATGACCTCTGGTTTCTTCTAGATACTTTTATGAATCAAAGCACATAAGACGTTATCTTTATATGAAGATAAAACAGAATTTAGTTTTAGTAGAGGTTTTACGGTGCTCGTAAATGCATAAGGTCATATGAGCCCCAGAAGATTAGAGGTGCTACAAGAGAGTAACAAACATTAAAAAGACGAAGGGGAGATAAGGACGATAGATACTTGGTAGGAAAGAAGAAGCAAACCACATCAGAGCACCCGCCAACCACCCACTGAAACAGAATGCAAGGACTAAAAAGAAGTAAACCCCATATGTAATCTTAATAGCAAAAGTGAAACGACCAAACACTCTCAACAGTTTAAGTATATAGAATATCCTTAGATCCTGTGCAGAATATACCACAGTAATGGAACGATGAATTGCTGTGGCAAAAGACAGTAAAAAAAAAATAGTCCGACCCAGAAAAGAGTAAACATCTCTATAGCACAACCGAAATGAGATTTTTGAAACTCTTCCAACCCTTCTACATGGCTATGAATGCTGGAATGTTTCCAAAGAGAGTGAAAAACAACTTTAAATAAAAAGAAATTATTGTGGTTTCATCATAGGAAATTGTTGAGAATTCCATGGAAGGAACAGAAATCAAATGAGGCAGTACTGAAAGATGTCCGAGTGGACCGTTTACTAATAAAACAATTCGAGAAAGACAAATACAGTTTGTGAGACACTTGCACTCGGTCCTACTAATTGCCGTCTGGAGCTGTCTGAAGCTGTCCGGAGCCGTCTGTAGACTTATTTTAAAACTTATTATGTCTTAAGACTTTTTAAAGTAATTTTTCTTTTGTAACAAAGTTAAAACCATAAAACTGAACAGAAATGACCTTTTGGTGAGGCCTGCTGATTTGTCCTGAACCAGAAGTTGGACGAAGGAGACCAACAATCTCTGATCGTTTATTTTTCGTTTCGCAGTTTAGAAATTGTGGACCCTGCATTTGTTTTCGTACTCTCTCCCAACCTGCCACCCCCCACCCCCCTCCATTTCTCACCCCACCCAGTTATAAAAGTGGTAGATCTACCAACTAAAGACAGCGAAGATTTTGTGAATGTAGGTGTTTCGCACCTGTAAGAGATGGCCTCGGACGGGAATTAGTAGGACCCCTTGCACTTCACTAGACATAAATATGCTTTGAACATCTTTCTTTCGCTGAAAAAGTAGAAGACAAAAGCGGCAGGAGTGAACCAAGAACAACTTACCTAGAGAACATGAACAGATGGGTGGTGGGGAAAGGCAAAGACAATTTTGTTGTATGTTTTTAAAGAGCATCCGAGCAAAAATATTATTATGCAGCGAACTATGACCACCAATGTCTGTGTCAGAGCTGGCACTCAATGGTGATAACCCTGGTTCGAATCCATTACCGAGCGTTCTTCGTGTTCTTTTGGTAATTTTCACAGAACGTAGACCCTCCAGCTTTTCGAATTGATGGTATTGTCAGTTAAATCATCAACTCTGCGAAATAATATGTCAATACTTTGATTGTGAACAGCTTGTTCACCAGTGAAATCTTTGTTACATTGATATCTATAACAAGCACCATCCTAACACAGGGAAAAGGGAGCTTTAGAACCTGCTTATTTTAAAACTGCGACCATGTACCCTCGCCCATTTAACAGTCCTGTATCAGGAACAAAAAACAAAACAAACGATAACCCGGAAACATGCCTTAAAAACGATAAACAAACTTCAATGTATGAGATTACGCGTAAAGTTTAAAGGAAATTAGTATAAAAATCTCTGATTCCTGAAATATCATGTAAACTCTTTCTTTTGGCACCACACAGGCACACGTAATATAGAAATTATTGTGGTCAGTCTGACGTGTACAACTCCCTAACATAGATTCGGCATCGGTCATCAAGTTGAGTTTCTCTTTCATCTCTCAGGTGACACTGATGGCATTCACGCAGGTGTTATCGTTGGAG